CCTTTTAGTGCTTTATATATATAGGGCCCAAAAACATTAATGTATAAACGAATAACAGCCGATTCAGATGCTAAATCCATAAATCATGCATCCCTAGAAGTACAATTTCAATTCCATCCATTGATCCAGAAAAATATGGATTTGCTGCATTTTAAATATAGCATAGCATATTTTTTTCTTGTAAACTTTCTGTTGAACTTGGAGATATATTTTATAGCATGTTTCATTTCCCAGGAAATCTGTTTCCCCTTGAAATCTGCAGCTCTCCCTACTTCTCTCTGTTTAAAAAGATTTATGAACCTATTTACTAATATAATGATGCCAGAAAGAACATTTCCAGATCTGTAGAAGCTCTGCAGTCTGATTCTGTCTGTTCAATAAGAAACATTTTACCCCGTAGCTGGGCATCATGGTCCTCTGAGAAGCCCAGATTTGTTTAACTAGTAAAGAAGAACAAACTATGTTTTCTCAGCTTATTGTATTATAATAAAAAACTTGTAAAAACCTACAATCTGTTACTATTTTTAACTGAAAAAGCTCTCTATGTCTAACGAAGAGTTGATTTTTTTGGCGGCATCTCAAATTTTTTGTTTTAACCAACCCGTCTCTTAACTTTTACTTCACTTTTACTGTCGTAAAACTAATAATGTGCAAATTAAAAATATACAAAAGCAAAAATAGCAAACAACACCTGTTTTTTTTATTATCAATACCATAAAAAATTTGCAATGGATCTGGATGCAGGGTTTAAGTACTGACCTTTTTTTTTTTTTTTTACCACCAATAATTCTAATAAACTTAGTCCACTGTCTAAGAATGGTTAATTTTTATTTTTACTTGAAATGTTTTTATCTATGACCTGTATGCTGCACTCTGAGCCACGTGCCTCAATTCATTTTAATGATTAAAGCAGAATAATGACCGTAAAGTGTCTTAATTCTTCACATTAAGGTTTTATTGAATACATGAGTTGAAAATGCAGGAGATCCAGGTCTAAAATTAGCTGTAGGGAGACCTCTAGTGGCGAACAGCCAGAACTGCACCATCTAGTTTAAAGCTGTGTAACACTGAAATCAGTCCGTCACCAAGTGAAGCATCATTAGCGGTTCCTGTTGTTAATGAAGCTGATAAACGGTGAGTTTAAAATGGATCAGACCATCTGATTAACCTCTCTGTGTGCAGCATAAAGATCGGCTTGAATCACTTTGTTGTTTTATTTTATTTTTTATTTTATTATTGTGCACTGGTTAACTAGTTAGGAGCTACATGCTAATGCTAACATCAGTGTTTGCCCTGCAGGTCCAGGTTTGCAGCGCAGTTATCAGTGTTTAAGCTAATGATCTGATAACTTAGACATCACATGTAGAATAGAAATGATGCATATAGATTGGCCAAGTCGTGTTATTAGTGCTGCATGAAGTATTTCCAGATAAAAACATCATTTCTATTTAAATCCTCTGTGCTGCATGGCTGCTGTTCAATGACTGAAGGACAGATTGATTCATTCAGAATCCTCTGATTCTTTACTGGATCCCAGGAGGAGAACCAGAACCAGAACCTGCAGAGTTCTAACTGGACCCTAATCCTGAGAGACTTTTGTTTCTGTTTTAATCTAAGATATTAAATCTATTCCATCACCTTCCACTGGTTGATCTGTTTTCTGCAGCTCCTAAAACCTTCATGTTTCTGTTTATTAGAAGAAAAGCACATTTATGGGAATTCTAAAACATGCAGCAGAAAGTTTAGCAGAGAAAAGTAAAAAGTTGGAAATTATTTTATAAAACTTAGAATCTAGTTCTCTATATTGACAGAGTTCACAGCAGGAATGACAGATGAACCAAATAACCTGAACATGTAGGTTCAGATCAGAACTGTTCAAATTAAAGGTCATTTTTTCATAATTCTATGGTTTTGTTGCTATCAGATGATATTCATATTTTTATTGTTCAGAATAAATGACCAAAAAAAGGAAAAAGACTGGGAAAAACCATGGAGATGTGCTGCTCTGGGAGACATGTTTATTTCCTCTTCATAAATTGTGACCTTAAATTTATTTTTTTGTGATTTTCTGTATTTGGCCAAAAGTTAAACCACAAATATTTCCTAAATTCAGTCAGAAAGATAAACTTTCGATAACAATCTGAAAAATAAAAGCCTCAGAAAAACTGCTATGAAAAGATTACAACTGAAAAAGCACAAAGTTAGGCTGATTATTTAACCATGTTTATAAAACTCCTCCAGTTTAATATTTTACGTCATATGCTTCGTTGATCTGATTGCTTTATTTGGCCCGTCTATCACCAACATAGGCCAATCAGCTAACCAGTATTTTCGCCCCTTCCCAAAATTACTTCAATGGAAGGTTTCCAGATGAATATGCGGAGCAAATCCATCTGGCGGAGTCAGGTTACAGTTCTGCTCTCCTAAGCTGGAATATTTTAACTGTAAACCCTTTTTCTCCCTCTGTGAGTCGGCGTCCTTCACCGTGCTCGCCGTTTATATTTTACTGCTCAGGTAGTCAGTGCGCCTTGT